AGGCAGAACCCGAACCAGTTTGACTCAAAATATAGTATTTCATGCTCTGTGCCATCATTGTAAGTGCACAACAAAACAGGACCACGGCCAACACTGGACCAGTCAGGGCATGGCTCTAACACAGCTGTGAAGCTCTGGGAGGACGGAGATCTCCTCCGCTCTGGTGACCTGCTTCTGGGCTGTGTCATGCCCCCAAGAGTTTTTCCCATCAAGTCCAACCTGAATCTCCCCCAGCACCAAAAAGAGGGGGCTATAACCCCTTTTGTGCTTTTAAAAGAAAATATTCGTTCTGTAACCCAAGTAAAAATCACAACAAATAAAGGTATTATTTGCTGGAGGAGGAGAAAAAACACTATTTATATATCAAAAGTGAGTGCTAGAAGCTTAACTACTTGGTCTTTAAAGAGAAGTCAAAGCACTGATCCATAACCAAACAACAAACACACCACTTCTTGATTTGTGTGGAGGCAAAGCTACGGGTTCCAAAGGTATTCTTCTTTAAATGAAATCCATTTGAGAACTTGGCAACGGCCATCGTAAATACTTTACACTGTTAATGTAAGCATTTCCAGGCAGAAGGTTAATCAGCTTAACAATACATTTAAGAAAGCTGGCATAACTTCTGTGCAAAAACACCATCAGTCTCTGTCCTGTGTATCTTTCTGTGCTCGTCACTAAATTCCGACTTCGCGCTCTTAGCATCAGACCCTTCCCCACCAAACCCACTCATTTATCTCAAGAACAATACAGAACCCAAACTGTTCTTCCATAACCTGTTTTCTTCAAAACCAGAATTAGCCACTGCTCTACACAGACTCCAAATTGGGTTGTGTTGATAACAAAGGATGCCATGGGCCCAGCAGTTTTAATTCAAGATAAGCATACCAAACTTTTCTTCCTGCCTTTACATATGGGTCCAACATTCAGCAGCTGCTTTTTTCCAGCCAACAAGCTCTCGTCAAGCTCCAGCAGACTAACTCCAAGAGGCACGTGCTGCCTCTCCAGCTAAAAGAAGCATCAATAAGACAGCAACACATCTCTAAATGTTCTGAACATGACTTCTCCTGCACCGGTGTTCGGCATTTTGCATCCTCAGTTTTCCAACCGGTTGGTTCAATTAACACCAGTTCCTTCACCACAGTCTTGAGTCAGAGGGTGCAATTTAATATTTAATTATGAACGAAGCAGCAAACCTCAAAATTAGGGCTGCCAGCTAAACTTCAGGCAGCTCCTTCCTGATGCAGCCCCAGCTTCTGACCGCTGGACCGTTTATGCTGCCTAAGCCATGGAGAGATCCTGTGCCTTTCCTGAACCAGCCTACACTGTTCCTCTCCATGTCAGTTTGCCATTGCACCATCCCAGACCTGAGCTTGTCACGTCCCTCCAAAAAGCTCCTCTGGTTTTTCTCCACTTGCCTCCACTGCATACCCTGTTATGAAGAAGTGCTGGCTGTGTGTTTTGGGGAGAGCTGCCCTCCCACGTGTCCGGAGAGGCTGCCAGCGTGTGGGGACAAGCATAAGGACTCTCCTGGTGATTTTTACCAGCCTGGTGAAGAACCACATCACCCACCCTTTTCACTTGAACCACCAACACTTGTGAAACACCATGAGCTTAGTCAGCTCAGCACTGTGGAAATTAAAGCTTGGAGCCAGTTTCCTTTAAAATAAACAACCCCCGGTGTATATCAAAGCCCACGTTGAGAAATTTCTCCATCCGTGCCAAGCAGCTCCACCACG